GCTAAACGCCTGCGAGTCAATAGATTAAAGAAAAAAAAAAATCTGCATACAGACAACCGGTATAGAAGAAACTTCTATAAATTAAATTGCAACTTGTTAAATGTACTGGAATAAGAAAACTATTGAGAAGAAACTACAACCACCTAGGATGAGAGCTACAGTAGTAACAGACCAATGGCGGTAGAACGTTTTTTAAAATGAGGTGTGGGGGGGGGGCATTTCATAAGGTAATAAATCCAGTATGCGAGCATCTAGGCTGGGGCCATGGGGTTGCTAAGGAACCTGGTTGATAATATGATTATATAATTTTGTATTCTCAATTTTAAAAAATAGTTTTTAAAAATTTAGAAGGGTGGAGGCTCGTGCCTGCTGGGCTCTTACTTGAATCTGCCACCGTTTAATTTAACATTTGACATAGCCTATCATTTTGTTTCACAAATGATTAATTTGTAATGGCAAGCGAAAAGTTTTTCACTATATATTACGCTAGATCAGTTACATCTTCATGAATAACAAAAAGAGAACTAGAGCGTTGCACTATAAAGAGTGCCTATACCTCCACCCTGCGCCTATAGAATTTACGCAAGGCGAGCAAGCGATTCCATTGTTTTCTTCATGCTCGAGGATAGGTTTCAAGGAAACTTTACAGATGCGCGCTTTACAGACATCAATATAGTACAAACTGGTTGCTCAACTCAAAATGGGTACTTGTAATGTTCGTTTGAAAATGAAATAAAAATCTATATTGTATTATAATAAAAATAGGTCGCTTTATAAAGCGAAAATAAACAAGGTCTCTAAGCACCAGATAATAATTATAACAATAATACCTGTAATAATATTAATAATAATAATGACATTGTATAACGTTCATTAATGATGTTTGTCACTGGTGCTGGGAACAATCACAAAAGTTGGAGAGGGGGGCAGGCCCCAGTGGAAAAAGTGAAGGGGGCTATTATGGCTCCTGCTTCTGCCACCGTTGCGATTTCACCCCATTTTGCCTAGAAGGTTTAACGCCCCTCCTCCCACTAATTTTGGTTTTGCCGTCAAAGTCATTGGAAAAGCATGCAAGATGAACCCCAGGGGTTGGGTCCGATTCCCAGGCCCCTTCGAAAAACCCCAAAACTGGTCAACTTTAACCCATCTAGCACAAAGAACTATGAGTGTGCGTCGTAAAAAACATAAATCTTACATGATATCAGGTTGGGTAGGTAATGTAAGAATCCCCCTTCCCCCACAAAGCACCAAAACCTAGCACTTTCCTATCTTAATGCATTGGCAAAAGTAAAACATGAGACAGTGTAAAAAACAACTACCAAGTGTACAGTAGCACATACAACAACTTTCTTCCAAACAAAATCCTATCGATGAACTGTACATCACAAAAAAACATAAATCATACTCAATAGCAGGTTGGTAAGGTAATGACCCCCAACCCCAATCCCTATCTTAATGCATTCACCAAACTTCTTTAATAAAGTAAAATATGAGAGTACAGCAAACAAAATCTGATGTGTAGACATTGGTAGTGGTGTTGCCAGACCTCAAATTATACTTATTCCTCCTCTATGCTCTGCCCTACCCCTCCCCAACCTTAAATACAAATCCCCAGTCAAGTTCCTACTATTTCTTTTATGCATTCACCAAAATATCCTAAAAGCCCTAGTGTATTATGAGTAAATTTACCATACAATTAAAATTGAAACGGTACTGGGTTTAGTGTACAGGGGTTTGTTCTTTGAATAGCCATTCAATTCATATATATAAGAAGCCTTTTGATAGAAAAAGTGTACCTTTTTAGCAAGGGTTGCCTATGTCGGAACTAACTCCAGCTATATAAAATTTATTAGAAAATTTGTTAATCGTATTAATTAATAGGTAAGGATTACTCGCTGTTCATTTTTATTAAGCATATTTTTCATTTTTATTAAGCATATTTATATATGTAAATTTACATCAAATATAAATTTATATTTATTTAATAAATAATTAGTTATAAATATTTATTTGAATAGAATGAATACTATGTTCATTTTTATTACCCATTACTCTATTAGTAACCCCTCTCTAATAGTTAGAGTATTGTTGCAATTTGAATTTAAAATAATGATTTTTAGTACAACTGTTATGGGGAGGGGAGCTGGGTTAAAGAAAAGATGAGGGAATGATTTGTGTTTTTGAGTTTATCACTAAATGGGGGTTTATAATTTTCAAGTGCCTAATAGCTAATAGTAACCCATTACAAAAAAAAAAAAAACCAATCGAAGAATAGTAACCCAGGCTATCATTAAAAGTTTAATGGTACATTCATTTTCTTTTTTGACTTTCGTGGGTGAGAATTGGTGCATGGATAAGGGGAGCAGAGACAAAATCTGTACCTCAGAGTAAAATGTCAATTTTTCTTTTTCTGGTTGTCAAAGTACTGGGCTTATTAGAATAACTGGTCAACGCACAAATGATATACTGTAGTAGGGAAATGACTGGGGTTTAGTGTGGGGCGGAGTGGTATGAGCATTAAGGAGGAATAAGTATAACTTGAGGTCTGGCAACACCACTACCAATAAATACATATCAAATTTTGTTCCTGTACTATCATAATATTTTACTTTAAAGAAGTTTGGTCAATGCATTTAGATAGGAGTGGGTAATTTGTATGGGGTATTACATCACCTTCACAGCCTGATATTGGGTAGGATTGGTTTTTTGTGACGTACACCGATAATACATTGTTGGGAAAATGTTGGTCCATGTGCTACGGAGTGAATTTTCTGTACACTGTCACATTAGAAAGTTTTGCCAATGCACTGGGACTGTGGGTAGGTGGGGGTGCTTTGTAAGCTGGGTGGGAGTAGGGTTACGCATACTGGTAGGGATAAGAGCGTCAACACCGCAATTTATATTTAGAGTTTTCGCTAACGCTTATTCTCCTCTTGCTTAGTTGTCTGTTCTATTCTTGAATAGCAAGAGGCATAGAATGTGCTATCAGTTGTTTTTAATGATTTAGGCGGAAGTTTAATTCACTTTGGCGTGTGCTATGCTTGTTTTTAAATTTCTGTGTGGTTGCCAAAAACCAAAATGAGCATGCATAGCCCAAATGACATTGATTAAAGGAGACCATAGTATTTTTCTAGAATTTTCATTGAGTAAAGATGTTTGTCTGTACAAGAATTTTTGTCTTCTAAAAATTTCCTTAATGGCTGGTTAACAATGTTTTCACATTGATGTTGCTTCTATTATTTTTTGTACAATCTAGGGGGCGTGTATTGGAGGAAAAAATGAACACCCCGGGGCGTTAATTTGACGGATGCGTTTATTCCAAATGTGGCTGTGGAAATATTTGTATTTTAACCTTATAAAATGCAGTCTTTGACTATAGGCTAACACTTTTCCCTCTAGCAGCCCTAGCATACACTATATTTTACTCTACAATTCGCCACTGATTTAGAAGGGAGAGGATGTTACGAGGTCCTCCCCTGGAAACATTTTGTTTCCTAATTGATTGGATATGCATCTTCCTGCCTTCTCAGGGGTATGATATAAACTTTAGATTTCTTCAAATTTCTGATAGTTTCATTGTGACTGGAGCCAGGGGACCAAAAAGGTTCTGTAGTTGGGATGTAGTGTGAAAGCCTTGAAACAAAGCAGACTTGGTGCTAAGTAGTGGAATTTGGAGGGGGTCCAGGGCTCTTCACAGGATAAAGATTTTGTTTTCCATATGCTCAGATATGCACATTCCTGCATTCTCAGTGGTCTGAAAGACTGGATTTCTTTCAATTTCAGTTATTACATTGTGAGATTATTATTATTATTATTATTATATACTCGTAAAACAATAGAATCTAATGTTCTCTCACAGGGCCCAGAAAAATGATGATGATGATAATGATGAGGCTTCGGCTTATGATGATGATGATGACATATGAGGTGGATCAATTTGATACTGATAGGAGTAATGCGCTTGAGTACAGGGAGTGTATGCTGCATAAGGAGAATAAAGCAGACTCGATGTTGCGTTAGATACAATTGAGGAGGATCTTCTGGCAAATTTTTTTTTCAAGATGTTGTTGTTGGGAATGGACTTTCCTGCATTGTGATTAATTTGCGAATAGACCTGTGAAGCACCATCAAAGCTTTATCGTTTAGAGTACCGTAAGACATCCTGAAAAATTGCATTGAACTTTCCTGACCGCATTAGTGAGGTCTCAACAATGGGGTCCATAATCTACCCCCACTGATGCAACTCCATTAAAGTTTAGGTGCAGAACCCTCCTGAAAAATATAACGATTCTGTTCTAAAAACAACAGGGTATAACGGTCGGTAGTGGTTTAAGAGCCATGTCATCGCCTATTTACTTCTACAAGTTGCTTTACTATTTTTGTCAGATTGACGGTTTGGGGTTTGAATTGTTTGTAGAAAATAAGGGAGCTGGCATGCCCCCACCTCTTAATCTGTCTCTCATGGCAGAAACTTTATTTCTAGTAATACAGTATATCACTATTTAGTTTCAATACCAGTTTCATAGGACTAGTTCCTTACTTCATTGATTAACAGACCATCCACGTATTTGCGACAAATAAGCCACCCATCGTAAAAAGACTTATTTCAGCTCTGTTTTTTTTTAATAGTTCTATTTTAATTGTTAGTTTTGCAGTTGTCTCTGATGTTTTTTTTTATATGTAATAATTTTGCAATTTATATGTATAGATATGATTAAAAATAACATGCATTTTCACATCATTGGTCATAATTTGTTTGAATCAATGTTGAAAAAAAGTTAACTTCCAATCAGTTGAAATTTCTAATAAGGAAATCCAGCGCTGCTTAGAAAGTAGAAGATCTGTCTCTTATACACATCTAGATGTGTATAAGAGACAGCAACTACATGGAGGTACAGTTTCACCCGTTGAAGCTGTGTAACCGTGTTGTCGAGATTTTTGACTACCTGCGCGAAGGCAATGAGGCAGACTTCTTGGTATTGTCTGTCTCTTATACACATCTAGATGTGTATAAGAGACAGCCATTTGTTCTTGTACAACTTTTCTGTACCAAAAAATGTATATTCGATCTCTCTTGTAAGGCTGGCAGTTAGTGCTCTTCCAAAGGCAACTACAGACTGGCGGAACTTGGAAAAGAAAGTAATTGGAATGTCCTTCACCTGTGGGCATCCTTTGATGAATCGCTGCAAATAATTTAAACCAGTTAACTGGAATACTTCAGGCAGAATGCGCATGTCATTTGGGTTCAGGATATTTTGTTTGATCAAACTCTCAAAGAGTTGAGTTGCCCGATCTGCTTCAACACGTGTGTGTGCGTCTTTGATGAGATCAGTGAGAGCAACCTTCAAAACCCACAGATCTTCTTCATCCAAATTTTCAGATATTTTTAATAGAATCCCTCGGAAGTCTTGCTCATCAATTGTACACTCTATTGAGGTATTAAAGGATAAGGTAAGTTATATTAATTGCTAAATGAAAAAGTATTATAATATAGACAATGGGTGTTACACAAGTCTTAAAAACCAGTTTCTAATTCTGATTGGATGTTATTTCATGGAATGAATTAGGACAGTAACATCCAATATGAATCAGGAATTTGTTTAAGACGGTGTAACAATAGAAGCGGTTGGCGCATCGGTTGTGGCTTGGACTCCCAACCTTTAAGATCAGAGGTTTGAAACTCTCACTAACTCTCGCTGTGCAAGTCGCTTATGTCCTTGGGCAAGGCACTTTATCTATGTTTGTCTCTCTCTGCCTAGGAGTATAAATGGGTACCTGGTAGGATGTTGTTTCATTGAATGTATTTGTTTCGTGTGCTAAATAAGTAGCGAACGACTAGGTATACTCTCCAGGGAGCAGAGAAGGTTGCACTTTGTGCTGGTTTACCATTGCATGTTATCCAGTGACCAGGGGTAATAACGCTCAGCACCTTTGATCAATTCATCGGAATGGGCACTATATCAATATTTAGGTACAGGTATTAATATTTGGGTATTATAGCCACAGACTATAATAAAACTGAGAAATTGAATTGAGAAATTCATACCGTTTTGAATGTTTGATAGATTTGGCAGCGAGAATTCATCATCAGAACAGAGACTGCATAAAGCACATGCTGAAGGTTGATGATCTAAAATAGAATAATTTCATATTTCAATTAAATGCCTGGCAAAAATATAAAAATCATTTCACAAAATTCTCTGAAAGCAAAATAGGATTGACATGAAAGTGTTTATTATGCCAGAAACAGAGTCAGTCCGTGCTCTCAGGTCTGGCCCAAGAAGAAAGGACTTGCTGCTCTGGTACTATTACATGGATCATTTTGTTTTATGAGTGACTTTTTTGTACCTTACTTGAATTTTAATTTTGTTTTGATAGTCTGCTTTTTCAAAAGCATACTTATAAGTTGTTACATACGATGTAAGCCTACAAATAAAATCATAAAATGTAAAAATTGTAGTATCATTTCTCACAGTCACAGTTGTAACAATGACCGTAAGTAAGTGGGTCTGTTTTAGTTGTACAGGTATTTTATTTACATTCAATAACATTGTAGGTGATAGCGAATTAATAAACTAAAATCCCTAATCTTGGACCTTTTTGATATAAACAGTACTGCCAATCCAAAATGTATGCACTTCAAAAAATGATTATTTTACTTGGTTCAAAATTATTTTTGCAATTTTAGATAAAATATTATTATTATTTTTACTTATATGATTATTATTTATATTACATTTATTATTATTATTATTACATTTATTATTATTATTATTATTATTATTATTATTATTACGTATTATTTTTTTTGCAATTTTTTTCAAATGTACTGAGTATTCAGTACATTTCCATGTCAGGTAGGGCAAAAATTACACCTATATTATTACGTAGTCTAACAAAAGCTCGCCCTTGATAATCAGCAGTAGAAAGGTGGTAAAAGTTCCTAAATATGTTGCTCTAAATGTGTCAGTTTTTGAAGTTTAGTGATTTTTTCTTATTTTGAGACTTTGTATTTGTTGCGATACATTAGACAAAAAAATAAGTGTCCCCTTAATAGAGGTTATTTCACCATTTGGCACCCTCAGATAGTGTCCCCGTCTCCTTAATAGGGGTGTCCCTTTAATAGGGGTTGGCCGCAGTGTTAAAAGATATATCGCCCCTCGTTTCACGAAAAAGTGTCCCCTTAATAGAGGTATCCCCTGAATAGGGGTGTCCTAAAGGAGGGGTTTTACTGTATATGGATATAATATCTGAAATAAAAAGTTAGTTGATTGATTGATTAATTGATATACAAGACTTGGCAAACTATTAATTCTGTTTCAGGTTGTATTCCAAATCAAAGCTTTACTATCAATGCTTTATGCATAATGGATAAAATATAAGACCCACAAAATATTGTTAAAACTTTAAATGATTAGTTTGTAAACAATGGACCAAATCTTGCAGAGAGACTTAACAATACAACCCTATTAATCAGCACTATTCTCACTATCTTAATGCACCTCTTAATGACTTTTTAAAATCTCAATTCACGGCAACAATGTTGTCAAGTCTATATCTAATTTAATTTCAAAGCCTTTCTGATTGAAAGTACAATGCTTACACGCTGCATCACACACAACTAATATCACACAAAGCAAGATTATATATTTGACTATGGTTTACTATTTACGCAAAAATACAAAATATATTTTTTAAGATATGACCTCCTTAACAACCATATCATTATTTTTGTACTAAATTTCTACCTGAATATACTTCTTCATAATTCCAGTTGCCTGTCAATTGATCAGAAAGCCGACTATATCCCCTTTCAGCAAGAGCTGAACTCATTGTAGTTAGTTGGTTGATGTTGGATGGTTGTTTATCCCTCCAAGACACAAGCATTTTCATTATTGCATTCTTCACAGGTTTGTTGTCTTTTTCTATGCAGTCTATTTCTGATAATTGCAGTCCTAATTGAACACCCACAAGTTTCCAATCACTTTTCATTTCATCGCAAATACTGAGCAATGTTTTATCATCCAAACAAACTGAAAGGAAATGTACAAATATGGCATGTTCATCAATTATGTAACACAGATGAAAACTTGATGACAACAAATACATTCCTACATGCCTATATAATTATTTTACAAAGCTGGGTATATTTGATATTCTGTCAAAGTCACATTTGAGAAATAAAAGAAAAATATTAGTCAGCATTGGGCATAATACTGATCCATATTTTTGCAATTTTGTTCTTGGTAAATATGTGTGTATGTTTATTATTGATTCTATATATTGTTAATATTATTGGTATGTGGGTGAGGCTGAGGTGTTATAAACCCTCAATATGTGAAAGTGCTTCCCTTGTCCCCTAAATTTCAATTCCTAGAAGTCCAGTCATCCCGTACCCTCTCAAGTTTTCAAAATAAAATTTTTTTTTTAGGGCTTTGCCCCCTGGAACACTTTATAGAGATTTCGACTGATGCCTGACCATGCCCACTTTTTTCCTTAGGGACAAAGCTCCCCCCTACCCCTTCCAGTCGGGGACCTCAGACCTCCTGTCGGGCAAATCCTGGCGCCACCATTAACCTCGATCCCCCTAGGCACCCTCCCCCATGGAGCCATTTTGGTCCACTTTCTAAAAATTCGCACCCACCCAATAAAAATCCTGCATATGGGCCTGTGATATATGTAACTATTTACAAATTTTCTGCAGAGATAAATAGCAATCAGCTTGTTTTGAATACCTTCACAAAGAACTGAAGATGCTTCCACATTAGGTCGCAGTTGCTTCGCAACAGAGGAAAATCCTTCGTGTTCCAACGCTTCGCACATCATCTGGAGTTGATTCGTAGAATGAGTCTGTCGCTGTCGCCATTTGGTCAACAGCTCCATGGATGAATCAAAAATACGGCTATGATGCTGTGTTTTTGCTGATGACACATCACTCCATGTAAGACCAAGACGTACTGCAACTTCCGGATACTTAATGCCAATTCCATTACTAATAAGCATCAGGTCATCATCATGAAGAAACCCTATAGAAAGCAATATGGTTGTTTATAAAATTATAATACAAGGATAGATGGTAACTTTATTCATCCTATTATGGGGAAATTTAATACCTGATTATAACAATGTGAATAAAGTAAAACAAGATGCCTTAGACAATTAACTGATAATGATACAGGTAGTTAGAGTAATAATAAGAAGAAGAATAAGAATATGAAGAATAGTGGGTTCTACTATAATTTATTGTAAAAATGAGGCATTTTCGTAAAATAAAACCCTTACAAACGAAAAGATCAGATAAATTTACTTAAGAATTTATAAAATAAATTGTTTTCTTTAGCGGTTAGCGAACACGAGTCTTCGAAAGTTAGTCTATTTTAGGAGTTTTCTTATGTTTAACTACGTAATTTTAATAATGCTACCACTTGTATGACAGTTTGCAGTGTTCATTAATCTGCACTACCGTGCTCGAAACACCTTCTTATCAGCAAGGTGTAAACTGAATATTCTATATATATTTTAATAGAAATTTTAAAACTGGAGCACCACTTTTATTACTATTTCCTTAGCCTCAACTCCTTTTTTTAAAGTGAAAGTCACAATCACAATCTCTTTGGTTTATGAAACATTCAATTCTAAAAAAATGATACGACAATTCCATAAATATGTTTATTTCCTGTATATATCCAGAATCATCATGTCCCTTTATCAACCCAATGAGGGCACTGTTATGAGCAAATTTTATTTCGGGACAAGAAGTTTGATCAATTATCTGTAATCAGCAGTGTAGACTGAACAGATTAAAAGAGCTAAAACTATGCCCTGTTTAAATTATAAACTGAAACGCCTGAACTTAGCCTAACGAACTGACTATACGTTTTACAAGAAAATTATATACAAAAGCAATTAATAAACACGGGAGATCCAAAACAAGCAATTTCTTTATGAAAAAAAATTGCCATTTGTAGTTACATATTAACATAAAAAAAAAAACATTAAGAATATTATTCTATATCAAACATGATCATAAACAATGTTGACATATGTTAAAAACATAATCTTCTTTAAAAATCATTGAATTTAGATTAATGTAATTACCAGAGAAGTTTTCAGGTAGGCAAAAGTCATCTCTCAGTTGCTCAGCAAGTCGAATGTAACCCCGTTGATAAAGCGCTGCCCTCATCACAGATACCTGATTGATATCAGTTGGTTGTCGATTTCTCCATGACACAAACATTGCCATCACTGCATCATTTTCTTGAACACTATCACTTTCAAGTTTCTGTATTTCTGAATGACTTAATCCAAGCTGAACTCCAAGCCTTCTCCAATTGCTATCCATTGCATCACACAATCTGAGTAACTGTTTATCATCCAAAACACTTCCTATGAAGTACAAATTCATTTTAGACGTTCAGTAAAACTTCCAAATAGATAAATAGTACAGTGCTCGAATATCAACATGATGTTATGATATCCTCTATTTCCCCAGTGCTATGGGGTCAGATCTTGGCATTAGTGACCAGATGTATGCAGCCCTCGAAATTAGCGTCGGCATTCGGCAATGCCGAGGTAATTGCTGACCTGTTAATCGAATGGATCAGGATGATTTATCAAATGAATTTGAGGCGGCCATAGAAAAGCACTCAAAATTATCACGTGACACATTCCCATAAAGGGAAAAATGCTTTCTTGGCTTAGGGCAAACCCTTGCTAGATAGTTAAATAGGTAGGTCTAGAACTTGTTAAATTATGACCAAATTAATTTATACTACATTGATAGATAATCCCTTTTAGCTGTAGTTAGGGCGTAAGTTATGGAGACACTAAAAAAAGGAAATTCCTGACGTAGTGCCGAGGCGAGTGCAATTTACGTCTGCAATTTTTTGCCGAGGATTTTGCCCAATTATCTTGAAATCAAAACATTCAATTCATTGCCTTGAACTTTTGCCCATGAAACATGCCTATTTCATGGTGCTGTAGTATTTTCTATACACTAATACTGGTAACCTCAGTGTTTCCTGGTTTAAATTACCAAAATTTACAGTTTTTCTATAATATGTTGGAGTCATCAGAAACCTAAAAATGAGCTTCACCGTTATGTGGCCCTCTATGAACAACATGTAGATGGAATTTGTAGGCTTTCTTTTAATAAACAGCCATAGAAAATCAACACAGAATCCAAATCAAAGGAAATAAGTAACTATAAAGAAATGTCAACATGAACGCAGTGGCTAGAGATACGGTAATGTATATCTACTTCAATTTGCTAAAGGTATGGTAAATGGCATTACGTCACCATCACCAAATGAAGTGCCAGAATGTGCGTGACGTCATTTTTCAAGACTGGCATTGCAGATCACCTGCGATGAGCAGTGAAACGAGAACGATGTACAGTACTGGGAAATTAGGACATCAAGAAGTACAATAATGTTTGACTTAGTATCTGTCATCGATAAATAGGCGCATGGTTCCACTTAGTAAAGAGTTTCACTTAGCTAGGCCTATGTATAACCATGGTATAACCATTATCAAACAAGGACTGATTCCACCAAACTCTTGAAATGCCTCTAGGCCTTGCTTAAATCAGTTCGCTTGGCGAAAAGTCTAAGCAAGCAAGGTCTGCTCGGCCTTGCTTGAATTCTGCTTTTCGCGGCAGCTGCTCTGGTGACATTGATCTGGGTGGGATACTGTATATCGGTCATAAACTTAGCCTAGTTCCTCCGTGATCATACCGTCTGAACTTCGTAATCCCTACATCCAAAGTTTTAGTCCAAGAAGCCTAATATACTCGAAATAATACCGCGCTTTACAATACGACCAAAATATTTATACAATTTGAATGCAAAAAACTTTTCGTAGGGCTAGACTTCGTCACTGTTATGGTACAGAATCTAGGACTAGACCGAGAGAATGAGTGTCCCCTTCGTGATTATTACTATTGTGTCAAATTTTTCCAATAATTTTAATGCAGACCTCCCTTAAAACAGTACTACGGTATATAAAATCTTAGGAGGCCTTATGAATCTTCTTGTGTATATTCAATTTTTAGTGCTTGTCATGTGAGGTGAACAGTGTGTGACTAGCGAAAAATGTACTTTATTAACAGATGATTAGCTAGGCAAAGAGAGTACAGTATATTCTTAAAATACTGTCATCGACAAATAGGTGTACTTGGGTTCCACTCAATAATAAGAGTCATGTCATTTATATAGCCATCAAGCAAGGCATCATCCTCAGGACTTAGGCCAAGGCACATATATACACACACTACTGCTAGTCTTTGGTAATCTATTTATATGACAACACTTGCAATAAAAAAATTGAATATACTGTAAACAAGAGGATTCATACAGGCCTAGCATTTTATATACCGTAGTACTGCATTAAATGGCCCTGCATCAAAAGTAGATTTGAAAAATTTGACACTAATCAATAGGCCCTCTCACGAAGGGGAAACTCATTCTCGATCTAGGCCTAGATTCTGTACCATGAGAGTAACGAAGTCTACGTAAAGTTTTGTGCATTCAAAGTGTATGAATATTTTGGTCGGATAAGATAATCTAGGCATCTTGGACTAAAACTTGGGATGTGGGGATTGTGAACTTCAGACTTGCTAAGACCGTGTTTATGACTGATATATGCCACCCACACCTATGTCACTAGAGCAGAGCCGCCGCCAAAAGAAGAATCCAAGCACGGCCTAGGCCTGCATGCTTGCTTAGATTCTTCACCAGCGAAAAATTTAAAAGCAAGGCCTAGAGGCAGATTCCCTAGAGGAATGCCAAGAGAAATCAGTCCTTGTTTGATAATGGTTATATATAGGCCTAGCTAAATAAAACTCTTTACTATAAAGTGATGATGACATAATTAATGTCGAAATATTGAATCCCAACACGATGGCGTGTATTTCAATACTTGGAGTATGTATTATACTTTCTTGTTATGTTAATGTTTGTTAAAAAAAACTGGACCATTTTGAAAAGCAGCATTGCGCTACTAAAAATGCTATCCAGTCGAAAGAAATAATAAATAAATAAATATTTGTGTGGGATACATAAAAAAAACAAAGTGTGCAGAATCGTTTCATAACTACTGCGTAATATATTGTATTGGCTGTGTATGACTATTAACCGAAAGGTCCACTGATTAATCTCAGATAAGAAAGTATAATACATACCCC